ACGAAATTTATCTTAGGAATCTCTAATGAGAAACGAAACCATGGTAACATACAAACCATGGTTGAGTCGTGGAGAATTAGAGAAGATGGAACTCAAATAACAAATCAACGATGTCATTTAAGACCTGCTGTGCAGTGTTGTAAACAGGTTGTGCCACTACCAAGAGCTGGTGCCTTCTCCCTTAAAATTATTAATTTTCGTAAAATGTTGATGAGTAAACCGAATTTAAAGAAAAGACAGGTAAGCTTCCATTGCTGCTGTCTCGTGCCTTGCATTCAATGGTCCAGCAGAGAAATCTGATTTAAATGCTTTTGTACAGCACATACCATTACATAGCAAGCCCTAACCTGGAATCACTTTGCTTCTGCACCAGAGACATAAAATTGAAAACATAATGCATGCACATGTTATCGGAAAGTGAAAACACTTAGGGACCCCGAAATAAAATCGAAGTCGAGACGTCGAACCCGCGACAAAAGAACGAGAGAGAGAGAGAGAGAGAGAACCAACAAAACGACCGAGAGGACAAAGCGACTGAATAAGGAACGGATTCATTATTCGTTACCGAAGGGATCGATAATGGGGCGAAGGTCCTCCGCACCTCCCTTCCCGTCCTGGAAAGGGTTCCTGGACCTGATTCGCCCTCGATGCGGAGTCGAGAGCTCGTCTTCGCGCCTCCCGCGGTCTCCCCGGGACTTCATCTTAGTGTTCCTGGGAGGCATGAATGGGAGCTTCGGCTCGATACCAACGATGCGAGGATTTAACTCGCCCTTTCCATCATGTTTTCTTGCGTCTTAGGCTTGGGCTTACGTGAATGGGCCCTTAGATTGGGGAAGGAAAAGACAATACCATCGTGGAGTGAAATTGGCGCGTACGCTGAGAAAGGAGCAGGACGAACGGTGGGAACTTGCAGAACAAAGCATGCACCCACGCAAGAAGACTCGGTTGTATTGAGCGTGTAGTCTACCGGCGTCCCTCGTGGAGACAATGACCCAAGATTAATGACCGGGGGAAAAGCAATGCTTTCCAGGGAGATTTTCTTCTCTTTTAGCTTCGAGTGCAGCGCACAAGCGTTCCACATTGGAGAGATTTTAATTGGTTCCAATTCATCTGAGGTAAAAGGGAGGTTACGGTTCCCCCGCATTTTCACCCAGAGTTAATTTGCGCCTCCAGTTGGAAGGCTCGGGGGATAAAAGTTCGGTAAAACTGAGGTAAAACACTTATGTGCGTCGGTGCACGAATCGATAACTTTATGAAAGGGCTGTTCAAGGTCTGGGATCGTCCAATCGGACCTCACGATCCCATCTGCTGCTGCTTCCTCACCTTCGCCAAGGTCAGAGATCCTTTCTTATCAGGGAAGGATTGTTTCTTACTATATGTATTGATTTTATTGCCATGAGAAGGCGGTGTTCATTGTATTGTTTTGTTGTTGTTGAGAGGGAAAATTTATCCGGCGACAGGAATTTCGATCCGTTTCAAAATAAACGTCATCATCAGATGAAATTAGTACGTGTATCGGCGTCAAGCATCCCACGTGCATGTACGATAGGGCCAGCTAAGCCGAGCCGAGATATGCCCTATTTTCTCCCTTATCTGGAATGCAGGTGAATTTCGGAACAGGGAGTCGGAAGGTCGGCCTTGCACTTTCGTGCGACTTGCCCCCACCGATTCGTCTTATCTCGTGCTCTCTTCGTGCCCCATTCCAATTAGAGCTTCACTTGCAGGTGGCCTCTCTTAATTGCCCAGCCTATTGCCTGATATCTCCAACCAGGCAAAAATAGAGCCACAGCTAGCTTCATCGGTTCAGTTATTCCCAAGACCTTGAGTTGCCTTTTTGGTTGCATCATGGTTGGGATGCGATGATGGAGGGTGTGAGGAGCCCTTTCTTTCATATATATATATATACGAAGAAAGGAGGGGGGAGGGATGTAGCAAGGAAGTTTAATGCACCAGTGCTCAAGGAGAAAAGGGCCCGGAGCAGGATTCGCAAAGGGTCGACGTTGAAAGAGATCAATGAATCACCACCCCCTGAAAGAAGCGGATTTCATTGTTGCCGGTGTTGACGTCATTCACGCCTGTCCGCCTCTGAAGCGTACGGAAGTGCATTCAGCATTCCTACGATCTCCGATATCCTCCGCCTTTAATGCGAGGCTAGGAGACTTTCCCATCCCTCAGTACGCGGATCGACGAACGAGTTGTTACTGGATGAGGGCGAGGAGGGGAGAGAAAAGAGTCAACCCCTGCATGGTCTACTTATCCTGGATGGTTAAGTGGAGCGGGGAAGCATAGACGTCAGGCTGCGCTTTTGCTCCTCATGGTGTCGTCCCCGCTGTCCCATACAAGCATCCGGATGGTTTTCGCGTCATTATCGTCCCTTCCATCGACGGAGATGAGAAAACTCTGGCCCGACCGATCGAGCCTTATGGCTCCTATGGGACATGCAGACTCTGCTTCCAATTCCGACTAATGCCTAAAGGCATGGGCTTAGCCCGACGGGAAAATAGACGTTACCAATGAAGTTCACGAGAGATAGCAGCTGGACGAAGAGAAATCCTTGGAGGCTTGTGTGGAGTTAATTGAGCCTGGATTCCCTGTGGATGCAGGTTCGATGGATCTTCATATCCTCTCTCTTCCTTCTTCTTTCCTTTCTATTCTCCCAGTGTTCCTCTTTCTAGGCATCGGGGCATGAAGCCGATAATCCTGATACCTTCTTCTAAGCTACTTCATCGTTATCATTCCCACCATCTTTGCCGCAAGCTGGCTCCACTCACCATTTGCTCCCGTTTCTTCTTTCACTTGGGAGTCGAGAGACGATGTTAACCCCTCCCTCTTCATGAAGAACGTTCCATGACACGACCTTCAACCTTAGAATGTAAGACTCTAATAAAATAAAACTATTTGCAACAATTCAAGTTCTTTAGTTTTTTTCGATTTCTCTCAATGCACTGTTTTGCGAATAAAAAAAGAATAAACATTCGAAACATGGTGAGGGGGGGAAAAAAATCCATAGCAAAAGGGTTAAAAGTGAGTAGAGGCAGTGGCCAGGAGGGCCATGGGAAGCCATCATGCCTCTCAACCCACTCAAAACCCTGAATTCTTTCTCTTTCATTCCATCCCACGCAGACGCACAATCGCTCTCTCTATCCGTATAGAAAGAGCCTTAAGCCTATAACACAACAGTGAAGGGTTTCCGGTTGCTTCATTAGGTGTATGGTTGTTTGCTGAGAGTTGAGATGAGTGAATAAGGCCTCAGATCGTTTGCAAGAGGTCCATCCTGGGAGTGGAAAGTCGGATGTCTGGCTTCTCTGTCGAGGTACGATCGTTGTTGGATCCAGATCCAGCCTGGCACATTGTGTCCTCGTTGTGATCACAGCTCCGAAGGGCTTCGTTCAAACAAGTCTCTTCCAAGGATATTGGGTCCTCGTCCTCTTCGGGGATGCAGACTTCTAACACTTTGATCTCGCTCATGGAGTACATGTCCAACATGGTTTCGGGTTCCCTTGACGACCTCGATAACCGGGTCAGTCCAAGAAGTTCTTTTCGCTCCGCTTCTTCCTCTTCTTCGTCTTCTTCTTCCTCTTCGTCTTCGTCCGCTGTCGAAGTATGATCACAGCCGAGGGAGGACTCGGAAGCGCGAGTCAAGACGGGGTCACCATTGGCCTTGATATCCGTCGGGGATTCTTCCATGAAGCTCACCACAATAGTAATGGGCCTACTCGTCCGTTCCATTTCACCCTGAGCCTCAAGTGTTTGTGGGTGGGTCGGGGTAGGAGTATTATGCACCTCCACGGGGGCTTCGAAGCGTACATGATTGGCATTCTGTTCAACGAGGATTTCCTCAACGACGATGGCCGGCATTGGAGGCTGCCTGTCTACCGGCGACGATGGCATTCCCCTCCACCCCGCTACTGTTACTACTGCTGCTGCTGCTGTTGCTCCTCCTCCATTTCCCTGTGCTCCGCCAGGGGAGTCGCTGCACACCAAACAGAAGGAAAAAACACCTGCGTTGAGGTTTGAGTTGAGGGAAGAGAATAAAAATCGAAAATCCATGTAGGGCATGCCAAGTAGGAAGAGGAGCGTTCATTTCCATTAGGCCTCCAACGGCATCTTTTCATTCTCAGACCCATCTATCTTCTTCCTCTGTCAGAGTTCCTCTTTTCTTTGAAAATTTCATCATTTCATTGATGACATGCTCCTCTGTTCCCTTCATAACCCGTCATTTACAGTCGAGGAAGGAAGAAACGAACCTGTGCGGCGTGAGGTGATGTGGATGATGTGGCCTCTTCTTTTGTTGAGAATGGGCTCTGGCTTTCCTGGCTCGATTCCTCAGAGCACAGATGATGGCGAATGCCAGAATTGGGAAGGCGAACATTGAGGTGAGAATAGGCACGACCACGGATTCCACGTTTACTGCAACATACCCCAAAAAAATACGAATTTCACTCGCATGCTATTCAAAGTGTCATTCTTCATCATCACTGGCAGCGTAGTCCTGAAAGTCCCAAAGTTTTCGGACAGCTCGTGTTCGGAATACCGGTATGAACAGAGACATGTTCGAGATGAGTGATGTGTAATGAGGATAAAATTTCAGGCAATTCTAGCTTGCATCCACTACATGGTATGTAATGCTCAGGTGTCTCGGAGGTATTTCTCGCAGACAGTTCCGAGAAGTAAGGTAGAAGCAGTACGTAATCACTCCAGGTCAATACGAACGTGACTTTCCAAGGAATGAGGTGGAAGAAAGGGAGACAGAGAGGGAGGGGGGTCGAAAAGTGGAAATAATGTCGACTCATGTCGTGCAGGAGAGGAAAAAAAGACGAAACAAAAGCGGAGAGGGTTTCACCCGCAGCTTCTACACTCAGTTGTCCATCGTTTTATTAGTGGACGTCCACTTCAATCTAGGACGTGACTGCAAGAGATCGAAAATCAATGCCTCCTTGTCAAGTCCCATATAATATTGGGAAGGGCAAACATTGGGTTGGGCCCCTTTCCCCCTTCGTTCAGGCGTGGCTCATGTAACCGCCTCTAATGCCATGCAAATGTCTATTACGCCAATTTGTGGGGGGAGAAAACGATTGATTTTTAATCACCCCACGTAATGCGGTCATTGAAAGGGGATAAAAGGGGCCGAGGATAAAGGATGCCGGAAGGCACCATGGGGATGGTGATTGTGGGAGGCATCTTGTGGATAGAGGATGCGGAAAGCATCTTGTGCCATCAAGGGATCCCGTGGTACGCGCTTATCTTTCCTCCCTGCGTGCCCCCAATCTTCATGCATCTTCCATGAAGCGAATATGATACTCTTCTTTACACCCCTCGCCCGGAGTCCTGATATGGTGCTGCCGAGGTGACGCCCACCCAAAGGGCATACCTCAATCCCGTGATCTACATCTACATTCTACATTCTACATTCCAGTTCAGGAGTCTCCGGGAGTCTCTCTCTCTCTCACTTCCATTTTCCCCTGCAGCATTTTCATTCCATTCGCATCCCGTCCGTCTGCACTGGGCACAGCATTATTAGGAGGAATCCGAATGAGATGTTAGGACATGGCACCTCTGAGCACGACCCGCTGACTCAAGAAGAGCAAGCCCAAGAAATATGAGGAATGGGGAGGCGACACTGGCACCATCCCAAGAAACACATATACGTACAAGCATAAACATTCACTTTTACGAGCTAAAGCTCTCGTTCTTTCTGATCGCACCCATTCGGATCCATTCCGAGAATCTCTTTACCACCCTGAAATACGTGACTCCATACACACGAGAGAGGAGCTTATGCTGGGGAAGAGTACCAGATTCATTCAACTTTAAGCTGATTTAATTTCATAGAATACGTCGCTGGTAATGAAATTATCTCCGTTGAACCGATTCTCATGGGAGTTCATTTTCAAATCGGATAATTTAAAATGAATATTTGTAATTAAAAGGATATGGTTCAAGACGAGTTCGATGGTTGCAGGACAAAGCTGGTCAACGGGTCTGTAAAGTCAAGACTCGGACTGAAATGGGTTGAAGGAGAGAGGAAACGAAGAAAAAGGCTGACAGTTTTGAGTGACGTCGGCAAATCGGAAATTGAAACGAGGATTGCGGCAAGACTGGAGAGCAGCCTTCAACTCTCCATTTCCTCCCTCTTCTTCGCTCCACCCCTCTCTCTCTCTCTCTCTCTCGGACCATTAGGAGATTCACAATGCCAATGCTTCAGCCACTCCGATCGCATTGTATTTCAGGGGACGGGATTCTTGGAATATTTCCGGAGCTTCTCCTGGATGGGGCCATATCCCGCTTTCTTGATGGGCTTTTTCTGCAAATTACATCGACGTGCCTAATCACGTGCAAGGGACCCGGACTTCATCAAGTCTTCAATCATCTCGGATGCGAGAAAAAATCGCGCGGATCAAGCAGCCCGTTAACAGTGATCATTCAACTGCGAAACGAGTTCTCCAACAGGGGATTTCGGACTTGATTCCAATATAAAAGCCTATGAATATGCTTTAAAGACTCATGAAAAATACCGCGGAATCTGGTGAGAAATGGAGGAAGGTTCAGGTCGACAGAGTCGATGACGACGATGAATAAGATCATCGCGCTATACTTTCATCACAGGTTCTATATTATCTCGTAGGCTGACGTTATTCTCAGCTCAGTGCTTCGTCTCATTCGTTCTCAAAGGTGCTGCATCTTGTGTTCATTAGCGTCTCAAAGCCAACAGCCAGCAGAAGACATTCCCCCGAGGGCTACAAATCTCTTGGGATCTGCTGGATGCACTTTTTCGCCACTTCCCCCCCCCCCCCCTTCCCTTTTTCTCTTCCTGCGTACATGAAAACAAGTTGACGAAACGAAGCCAAGAAAACACAGCTTTTTCTTGTGCTGCAGTTTTGGTCTTCTCTCCCTGTTTCATGGCACGACATTAGATACGGGCTAGAGAGTCTCGAGGACTCCCTGAGAAGTCTTCTCTTCCTTAACCCTCTCCCCCCTTTCCTCTTATCCTAAATCCACGTGGACAAAGAAGAACACGAATAAAGCCCATTTCGTGCCAAGGACCCCTGCTGCGGCTTCATAGACTGGAGCACGATTGTACATCCGCCAAGGGAGGTCCCAGTGTTTTCCCGAGACACCAGAAGCATATGTTTCGCAGAGGCCTAAAGAGAGGCAAGAGGCCATTCAGACGAGGGGAGAAACGATTAGACCTTTTGCTCTGCCAGAGATCCAATATCATAATTATTCATTCGGTGCTATCGTGTAGGAGTTACGTCACTGCGTGCCCCTGTTGCGTGCTATGGGGCCATTAAGAGAGTTTCTAAGATACGATGAAGAAATGAGGGAAGGGAACAAGCTCTGTCTCTTCACACCCTCGTTTTGATGCAAGAAGATAGGAAATGGGAAAGGGAATAGAAACTCCTAAGCCCAAGGGCGGAGCTTCGTTCTTTTCCTAACGCCCTTCATCGATTGACGAATGATACATGATCTACAGCAGCAATCATTAAGAATTGCTGCGATGGAATGCGCATCACTGAAGTACGATCCTCGGGTTAACTTGCACGTGACGACAGCGCCATGTCATCGGAGAACGTCATCGGAGACGCTTGATTGCATTAATGTCTAGAAATAGCTCCTTCGGTTTGCAGACTCAGGCAAAAGCTACCATGCACACATTCGTTCCGGCCGCGTATTGTGTAGGTATCGAGTCGGAGATTTCCCTGGAGAAGAGGCTTGGGATGACGCGGGGAAGAGCTGTGGGATGTATCCATACTGGCTCTATCGAGAGATCGTGACTGGGTTCGGGGATGGGGAATGGGAAACGAGGACGGATGGAGTTGAGTGCCTGTCTTTCTTCCAGGCTTCGGGCCGCCAGAGTCCGACAAGTGTGCAATAAGAGCTTGCTGGCCCCTCCTTGTCTCCTACCCCCTCACTTTTATTGCTTCCCCCTTTCCGTATCGGACTACAAGCGATGCATAAAATGAGGCTGAAGAGAGAATGATAGGGGGGGAGAAGACAGAATGAGAAAAAAGTATCAAGTATGTAATTCATCTCCTGACCGATCGCTTCTTGCAAGTTGAAGGGTCTCTCCAAGGGGATGAGAGGTGAAAGGGAAGATGGCGAACGAAGATATGAAGACACCAAAGAAAAAAAGAAAAAAGAGAAAAAGAGAAAGAAAGAAAGAAAGAGAAAAGAAGAAAGGAGAGATTCAATCACACAATCAGGAGGGAAAAAAGGCTCCTACTTTGACAGTGGCGCAACCAGACTTCGATGTTGGAGGTTTAGTTATCTTGCCACCAGATGGCAAGGTTCTTCCACCAGGTGGTAAGATTCTTCCACCTCTTCCCAGACAAACAGTGAATGGAATTTGAGAATAAACTTGCGACAAAAAGCTTTATATTTTGCTTAAGTTAATATAGAAAATACTCATCTGATCCTGGATAGAGGATCACCGATTCGAGCGATGGGATTTGATCCTATCAGAAATAAACCTTTCGGAATCCTGAAGTTTTCTTTTTCTTTCCGTTCCTTGCTCTGAATTTTCCTGCTGCACTTTCCGTTGAGACCTGAGACCAGAATATCTGAAAGAATCCATTGTGAATAGCAACCAGTTATGGATAATTATATTCCAAAAGTAGTTGAACTGCAACCATGCACCTAGATGAGTGATTCAACTTTTTGCTTCAAGTGCCTTCCAACATTTAGTAATACGTCGTACTTACATATCACTATCTTAAAGAATGTACAATTGGAGAAAGACAACGCATTATAATTAGAGCGATTTTGTATTTTTGGTGCCTAGGCACTTCGTTTTGTGGGCACCAGTCAACATACTGGGAATAATAGTTCCCTTATGTCTGCTTCCGTTTGAATTTACAAGTTGAAGAAAGTGAAGCGAAGGTTTACATTTATGGTTGCAGTTGGGTACTTCAGTGGTAGAACTACCTTAAAATTTACTTTGGCTCTTCATCTGAACCACTTCTACATGTGGTTATTTAACTCTTGCGTCACCCCTTTTGAAAAAGCAGCATAAAAAGCAGTATAACTGCATATCACAACATTTATGGTGAAAAACTTCTTGTCACTGTTACCTAGCCCCTCTAATAAGGGTGAGATGGTGCCGATAGAAAACTTGAAGTACGACTTATCAGTCACGACCTGTCAATCCCCTGGGACATGGAAAGGCTGAAAAAGACTATTGGATGCTTTTATGTGAAAATTGGGGTGTTCAGTGCCTTCCAGTGCCTCTCCCTAAGGTTAGATGGAGCTGTCCTTTTGGTGCTTCACTAGCTTTATTGCAATGTAAAAAAGGAAAGCCTTCTGGTTTCTGGGTGGGGTCCGCACCCCTCCATCCCTTGGTTGCGCCACTGTTAGTGGTGTGTCAAGCGGGCCGATTGGCCGTGCGAGTGGAAGGGACGGGGGTCATTCATCACACCAGTCGCGGCTTTCATTCATCACAATGAGTGAAGACAGAGAAGGAGAGAGAGCGCACGCGAAAAGAATCCTCATTCCTCCCCCTTGGAAAAAGGAGGATTAGTCCATAAAGACACGCACGTGTTTCTTTCAAAGAAGTCCAGGAACCTCGCAGGTTATTCCTATGGAAATGGACCGAGAGAGGGGGAGAATGGCGCGTTATGCATCCCGGGTGATAACGCGTAATTTATTCCTACTCTTGGTGTAAATGAAATTTCGACTATTTCTCGACCTATCCTTCATTCGATGCCACTCCTTGGAATTAAAATCCGCGTTCAACGCTTTCCTCTTGAATTGCACATGAGGTCGTGATGATCGCAAAAATCGTTTTATAATAAATCCCATAAGATGGATTTCCAATCAACATAACTGTATCTTGGATACTGGCCAACCCATTCAGAAGTCTCCTACTACTCAAACCAAATCTCTTTTGAACGGCATTAAAATCTTGACTCTAGTCAAGTTCGAACTACGGTAGCTATTACCCTGGCAAAAAACTCAAGTATCTGCTTCCGTTGGAGCATGTTAGATTCAGTTTGGATCTCAAAGTAGCACCTACGCACTAATAATTCCGTATATCATGCGCTAGGACCATTGCATACAGGGTATATATTATCCATGTCGCCAAAAGGGACAAACTTTAATTCAAGAGACCCAAGCTTTTGAAATGAGAAAGTATAATATGTAAAACACCGACATGATGATTCCTCGGATCCATTGGTAATCGAACCGGGAACATGCGGGTGACCTCCAGGGAAAAGGAAGGAAGCAAGCTCCGAAGCGGGATGAAGCTTTCCACGTGAAGGGTACTCATATATTCTTTTCCCTCTGCTGGTTGCCTTGACGGGCAATAGGCCTCTATGTACACTGTCTGCATTGCCGATTCTATGCATTATGGCCCTCGAAGTAAATGAATGCGGTTCGGAAATGAGTTTCTCGCCCTCACGTTAAAAGCGCGCCCCATAAAATGGAACGTTAGCAAGTTTCGCTTCGCGAGAGCTTCGATATCATGCTTCGTATAATGCTCATGAAAGAATATTATGTTTTCAGAGATTTGGCATTCGGCATGTATTTCCACGTCCTCCTTGACCCCATTCAATCACCTCCTTAACAGTCAACGATCCAAGCAACAGACCCCGACGTGACATGATTATTTCGCACTTGAAAATAATCGTGAAGATAACTACTGTATTTTCCCAAGTATCTTGAATAAGTTATGACTCTCAACTGAAACAGGGGGTGAGTGAGGAGAAGCGCTCTTAGCGTCTCGGAATGCCATGAGGTTATCCGAGGGATCGATGACAAGTGCGGACGGAGGGGACGCATGCAAGTGATTGAGGTAGACGATGGGTGGAAATGTTCGTGTCACCCGAGGTAAATGTATCAATTTGCATTCATAATCTAGAGGAGTCAGCTGCACTAGCCTCTCCCCCTCTCTCTTCATGCAATATTGCTCACGAGGGCAGCATTATCAGATGATCTATAGGGACTCGGGAGCATCTGCACACCGCCCGTCCTACTGACTCCCTCTCATCCTAATGGCCTGCAGGAAACACCCGCTTACTACACTGAGATTATAAATTTTTTATTTCAAGAAAAGCTGCTAGGAGTAACTGGGGTAGGAATACCCGCATAGATGCCCGCCCATTTATTGTTATTGAGGTGCAATTTTTCTCCTGTCGACTCCAAGTCCCTCGTAAGTAGACACGTGCAATATTTCGACACAGACAGAGGGCCCCATTCATCATGGCCAGACCAGATACGGGCAGCAGCTGAAGCGGGGAAATGCATCATACTTGTTCCCTTATCGGCAGGTGTCTACTTAACGCCTTCGACGTAATGAGTTCCGAGGCATTCATTATCGGATGATGGCACGATGGCACGATAACGGTCAGTGAACCACCTTGAGGTCGCAGCCTCGTCGAAGACGAGACCGATGAACGAGATGCAGGTGTTTGGAGGAACAAACTGGGCAGAGATAAATCGACGAGAAATCCGGAGATAGATTGCCTATCGAAGCTGGAGCTGGGAGAAGGCGGAGGCAATCCTGTCGATCATTGATGATACACACTCGAGATCCATCTCATCTAATAGATAATGCACCTTAATAAGCAATGTCACACGGAATAGCTGCATCAATCCATCATCATCAGCCGGGGTCGCCTGAGGATTCCTTCTTTCTGCTGTTCCCTTTGCCGGCCCACATTCCTGGTCTTCGAAGTTGCTCTTTGATCGTGTTTGTATATCGCTGTGTGCTCTGGGTTAGGATAGGAGCTGACGTCAAATAATCCACCAGGAGATGGTATCCCCCTTTAAGGTGCATTGAGTGCGAGTCCCTGAAAACGACAATCCTCTTTCTCGAAAGAAAAACCTCGAATGAGATTATATGCCTACCTAGTCATGTGCATGGGCGAGGCTCTGGTGTCACAAGATAAATAGATAGCTGGAAAGAGAGAAAGAGAAAAGGAGCGAGACACCAAGTTATTGGTGACTTTCCAAGGAATGAGGGATTGCCTATCGGTTCGCCGGCGTTCATAGAAAAAAAAACATTGAGACCGGGAAAAAACGAAATGACTCGAAAATCGATCAAGGATAGCTCATTTCTCGCGGAAGAATGAAGCAATGGCAAAAGGCAAAAGGAGCTCTTGGGTTCAATCCCCCTTCTCGGATGAGATTCCGCTAACTGGGCTTACCAGGTCGACTGGATACGGAGATGAGAACTCCTCGATTAGAACTTGGATGAGAGGTGAGATTTTCAGGTTTACACTTCCAAGTGGATTCGAGTTGATGCCTCTGCAAAGGCAGATCCCTGGTAGACATCACAATCAGGCAATTTCCCTTCCACAATCTGCGAGTCTCTAACGACAGCATGTTCTGTATATCGAGATCTGTCCTTGAATGCATGGAATGGAGATGTCTCCCCGACAGCTTCGTATCGTTTTCCTGTCATAAACCAATATCTTTCGCTTCTCTTCTCGGTCTCTTCCGCCCCTCCCCCCGCCCTCCCCCCCCCCTCCTCCCACTGGCCTTTCGATTCATATTATTGGCAACTCCTGCTTTATATTCATGACTCGTTACGCACACATCGGAAAGATAGACTTCCACAAAATGATACTAGCTCGGCAAAGAATATGGAGAGGGACCACAGTATAAAAAAAAGGGGAAGCCTCAAATTGAGCAATATTCTGAGAATCTCCATTAAAGAGTTCCAAGAAAGAACGAAGGGGATCCTACATGAGGAAGACCTTGAATCTTGGATGACCATGCGAAGAATTGTGCCTCTTGCATTCAAATGAGACACCACTGATGCCTGTCATTTCATCATGTACAAATCCTAAAGCTTCAAAAGCAGGCGAAATAACTTTGAAGGTATGTGAATAATATTCCTCTTCGAGAAAAACCTCCCGTTTCCTTGAAAATTTCGAGCTGACGTAGTCCTTTCTTATCGCCCAAATTGCTTCTTATTCCATACCGTCATGACGGAAAATTGAATATAAACGGAAAGCCACCTTTACCTAGCTTTCCATTAATCTCCACTTTTCCTGGCATCATCCGGATAGAATGACTAGCAATCAAGGGATAAGAGGGGTATATTTCCTGCTTTCTCCACCAGCTCAAGCAGGTGGAGAAAGCAGGAAAATGTTTTGCTGGATACCTAGATATGTTTTGCTGCCATAAATACCTAGCTCCAATTGTACTCGCTGATCTATTTCCGCCTAATGCGAAGTCCGCATATTTTTGACACCGAGAATACTCTCTCTCTCCCGAGCTCACAGCCATGTAGTACTCGCGCTTCTCACCCTTCCCACTTCCCGTAAACAATTGTCATGCCATATTTCAGAACCAACGTCGGAATGAATGCCGAGATACCAGACTCGAATTATGGGAATATTCTTGTTTTGTTTTTTTTTTTTTTTTGGCGAAGCTTCCTGTAACCTCTTCAGCTAAAATTTTAAGGTGGTTCAAAGGGTTCAAAGGTGGTTCAACCCTCATTTTTCCAGTAGTATCCAAGGCGCAAAATGAAACCGCGTTTCTCGTTTTTTCTTCGCTTTTTCGGCTGGTCCGAATTTGCCTCCCGGATATGACGTATCGCTAGGTGGGTGAATATTCTTAGCCTACCCGGAAGTCGCATTCGACCAGATCTCACAGTTTCCGTGTATCGTGCTCCATGTCCGAGGATATGCTACATTATCATGCTCAACACATATGCGATGGCCGTCATTCTCGGAATGAGTATCGAGGGCCATTCCCCTACCCTCATCCCCCCCCCCCCCTCTCCATACTTCCGTGTCAACAAAGAAATAACCAATACCTCAGATGAAGAGATATTATTAGACAAGCAAACCCAAGCCCATCCAAAGGCATGCTAGGCTCGCGAGGGAAAAATCCGAGGGAGAGGAGAGCACTGACCTTCGGGATAGATCATGATAACAGTTGGCTGAGGCATTTCCGAGTCCTTCGCAGAGTTGTTGAAGTTCTCCAAGTCGATGTCAGTGAGGTTGTAAGTGCTGCGATTGGCAGGCGGGGGCTCTTCATCGACGAGAACACTCATTCCTCAGGAACGTCCCCTGCACCTGCATATTGCGAGGGCTCTGGTCTCACTTCCCTATGCCCTTGTCTCCTCTCTCCATTCTTCCATCCATTCTGTCCACCTGAAAAGGCGTGATTTCATGGCGTCATGCAATTCTCGAACACATAACGATGATGGCATTTCAGTCCCCTCTATCCGAGTGGCCGAGGCCATAACTCTCCCTCCACATAATAGCTACGAGAGCAGGAGGTGATGAGGTAATTATTGATTGTGATGAGGACGTGCGGAAGGAACAAGCTGGGCAAGTTCAGTACAGTAGAATACTTTTTTTCAATGACTATTGAACATGGAGGAGAATGCGACAGATAGGTAGAGGCTGGAAGGTAAGAGGAGTACGAAATGTATCCTTGCCATTTGTGGAGCAGCACGAAATCAGGTAGCAACCCTGCCTGCGCTGCCTCTGTCTCTGTCAACAAACGGAGGTTGGAAGGGAGCTGACAGCTCTGGGTTGGTGACTTGACACCTCGACCCAGGCTGAGTAACCGTCTTGAAATTAGATCAAGGAAGACTTAAGGTTGTTCATGCCTTTCCCGTTGTGAGAAAATTTCAGACTCAAAATTCGCGATAAAAATTACGTTTTTGGCATAAATTAGGCCAAAAACGAACTTAACCTGTAACTTCTCCACATCTATCTGTGTATGCTAATTTCCACAGTGATCAAGCAAATATATAAAACGGGTGTGTTATATGTCAGGAATCACAGGGTTCTATGGCCTAGTCCAATGGTGCCCAACCCGTGGCCCGCGGGCAAAAAGTGGCCCGCGAGGCCCTAACACACAATAAATACCCTCAGGTTTCCTTAAAATAGTCTCCTACAATAATAGTGACTAGCCCGCGATGGCTGTGGGAATGAGCTATGTGGCCCCCTAGCCGAAAAGGTTGGGCACCACTGGCCCAGAGAGACAGCCTCGTAGGCTTTGCGCGTAAGCCATCGCGCAAAGCCCACAAGGATGTGTCTTTCCGGATCATAAGGCTACGCCACAGATCCCTATGATTCCTGACATATGACACACCCTATATATAAAGAGAGGATGATTCAGAGCCAGGAATCTGGCACACTTGCGAATACAACTGGAAGGGCAATGAGAAGGGCCCCTTCCAAGTCGAATAGAATGTGATGGATATACATGGACAGAAGGGAAAGCCTTTGACCAGCCAGCCCAGCGACCGCGGAAATCCTCCGACAGGGATCCTGAAATAATTAAGTGCTGGGCTGATTAGGGGGAGGGGGGATTACGCTGTTCGACCGGTATCGTTAGGGGGTGTACGGCCGGCCTAAAACATAAACAGCTATTAAAACCTATTTCTGCGGTCAACCTAACATGCCAGGAATATTAGATAGAACTTGGAAGTACTCCCCATTCCAAGGACAACCCTAGCTAAAGTTTCTCGCACATGTCATCGTCTGCTAATGATTAGCTCAATATGTCTCACGACATATTGGGCTTCGCGCGGTGGCTAACGCGCAAGGCCTACTAGGCTATGCCTCTCTGGGCCATAGGCTAGGCCATAGAACCAAGGCAACAGGCAGGCTATGACCGGACCCTAGCCTGAAAACCGAAGCCAACACGCCACCCACCACCCCGAAATCGCCAAAACCAAAAAAAAAGCACCACAGTCGACCTATATTTCATATCGCCGGATATATATATCCGACGATGCATATGATATGGGATATTATGATATCCCATATATATATGTGTATATATATCTCGCCGGATATATATTATATCGGACAAAAGTAAAGTGTGAGAAAGACACAGAAAGACACACAACCAAGACAAGGCTATAAATGGTCTCTTTCCTTTCAGGAAAGGAGGGGGTCCACTAAAATGGAGGGAAGAAAAAGTAGAGGGAGGAAAGAGGATCTCTCGCTCTCTCCCTCGCTTATCATCAGCAATTCCAACCATGAGAAGAGGGGAGGAGGCCGTTAATCGCGTCCTCTTCGAGCGACTTCATCAGCCGCTGGGTTATTTATGATCGCCTACTAGCTGCTGCTCTCAATTCACCCATCGGATTGCATGGCACGTTTGCAGACCTCCAAGTGACTTCCATATTCTGCATTTTTTCCCTGCCCGGCTCCTCCTCCTTCCATCCTCTCTTCTTTATCCTCCCTTCGAGGCCGTTCCCAAAAGGCCCTAATGGGCTCTCCAGCAATCAGCAGCTGGCTTCCTGTTCACCCAAGTGGAGGGAAGGATCTTATTTCCACACGGGCATCCCTGGCCACGGAAGATTGCACGCAACTTTTCCAGCCTCCGCGAATCGATTGGATTTTTCTGACTCAAATCATTCTAATGCATCCTGGCCTTTGACAAATGTATCGGTTTTCATGCAAAAAAATGAAACTTCCCGAATTATTAACTATGCCAGCTCGCCTATAGCAATCGGTCATTCTTTCCGTATGGCATCTAAATCTCGCGAGATCATGGACGAACTAAAGTCTTTCCTATATTCTTCCGACCACATTTTTCGGTAAGAACTTAATTCAGAATGGTAGGAAGGAGGTGAAACTCAGTAAAATATCAGATGTTGGCAGGCACCTACTAACGCCACGAAAATGTCTTCAATGATTCGAACTGTGTGGGAAATCTCCGATGCGTTTAATTTTTAAAATCAGAATTGCCACTCATGGGAGGTGAAGGGGAGTCATTGCGAGCCATTGAGCATATGTGCTGATCTATTCTGACAAAAAAGTACAGGGTGTCCATATAGGTATGCCTCAATAATAATCTGTCATAATTCAGTAGAAAAGTACTTTTGTCATGAAAGGCAATATAGTACTATGCATAAACTCACTATCTGTACATTTTTTTACGGTGGTGCTTTATCAGAAATATTTGTCAGGCCTCCACGTGTCCACCGTCTCGTTGACGACACAATTCCCAGCGGTACGAAAGTACCGCCCACGTATTCGCTAACATTTCCTGCGTGGGGCTGGTGAATACTTTCTGCATGCGTTTTCTTAGGTCTATCACATTACACAGTCTCTCGGCATACACCTTTTCTTTGACGAGGGGGCCAATTCCCTGACCAGCGAACTCTCCCAATCTCACACCTATGGACTTTTGTCTGGGGTTATATCGAAGAAAAGGTGTATTCCTAGAGACCGTGATGTGACAAACCTAAGGAACTGCATACAGGAAGCATTCACCAGCCCTACGCAGGAAATGCTAGCGAATACGTGGGCGGTACTCTTGTACCGCTGGGAATTGTGCCGTCAGCGAGACGGTGGACATGTGGAGGACTGTCATGGATATTTCTGACAAAAGACATCACCGAAAAAAAATTATAAGAAGTGCGTTTATGAACGGAGGGTTTCATGGCGATAAAGCACTCTGCTATGAATTATGACATTATTTTTGAGTCATACCTTTATGGACACCCTGTAGATTCGTTAGATGCAATGCGAGGGCATCATTGTACCCAGTGGATTCGTCAAGATGTACGGACAGAGGAGAAATAGAGAGTTGTTCATGATCGGAGTAAGCAAGAATTTGTTAGAGTCTGAAAGCCTCCGACCGCTTGAAAAGTTTCTGCCTCTTTCATGCGTGCGTGGAGTAGATACCCGCAATTATTGGCGAAGAAAAATTATGAAAAGGCTTTCAATATAGCGTTATAAACTACAGCAGTGCGTGCAGTGAACTATTTGGCTTTATCCACACTGTCCAATGACTGCCATGGTCATGACACTGCACTGTAGGATCCAATAAAAAGTGATGGGAGTGGACACAATATGAAAATATTGACTCTAATTACTCGGTACTACTGATAGTAGTTGGACGAGAGACGTACTGCTCGTAAATTATTTGCCCTTCAAAGCAAGCAGACGGGAAATGTGAGACATGCATAATTCAAGGAGAGTCGGAGCAATTCCTCCCAAATTACTGACGGGGCAACCATCAGACCTTGCTGTTGCCTCTTTTCGAGGCCATAATGGAACACAAGAACTAATCAAGAATAATGCCCTTCATCGATCGTCCTCCCCTCGCGGTGAAAGGCTCCACGGGCACTTTGAATGGGCGCCGCATGTGGGCAGGAAGGCGTAAGTGCGGTCTGAAAGTTGTCTAACCGTCTGAAATATGCATGCCGATGGGTTCCGAGGATTCGTCGTGAGGTGCTTTTGACGGTATCTGAAATCCTGATAACTTCAACTTTCGTCACAGTGACATCTCGCCTAGCCTTTTATCGACGGGTGTCTCAAATGCTATTTTATCTATTACCTGCATAGGGGCAGGGAGGTGCATGCGACTCGGCCATTAAAGCGCTCGGCGGAAGATAAAACACGTCTGCATGCTTACCTCCATGTTTCTGTCACTCTCGCTACAAGATTCCAGACAAGATGGATGGGGGGGGGGGGGGGGGAGGGGGGATGGTCACTCGTCAGTTGAGTAGGGATGCCTAACGATGCATACCTCAACCTGCCGATGAGCGGCTCGAATATCCTTGAAGGCGTCGACTTGAGCGGAGTGGCAGCTGGCCTCGCCTGATCAAGACCGGGAGATACCAGCATAAAGACCTGAGAAATGAGTTCAGGAACTCGAGTCGAGGCCCATATCAGTTCTGGAGGCTCAAATTGACAGCCTCCAGAACCAAATTTTAGCTGAAAAGAAATGCAGCTGGTCGAGTTTGTCTCGGCTAAGTCGCATGTTATGAATAATGGTTCCGAGAAGTCTTTAACAATCGATCGAGTTTGATCTGAAGGATGTTCTTGGATTCTTTGTTCGAATCTGCATACGCATAACTTGATTCCATGTTTTATGAGCACAATGGATATCCTATCGATCACTTGAATAAAGGGTAGGAGTAATTTATTTTGCTTAAGAACGATTGGAGATTTGCCCCTGTGTTCTCTTGCCCCACTTATTCAGCTTTAATAAATTATTACACTCGGCAACGACCCATCGATTACCTCTCATGAGCGGAAATCCACGGGGACGAGAATGGATGGTAAGGAAATCTCAAAAAACTTTCCCAGAAATATGGCAGGTATCATTTCCCGGAATGCATCGGATCTTTCCTCGATTCGAGGAAAAAAAAAAAAAACGCCGGACAGTTCGCTAA